AAATAACTAGTCACTTCAGAGCTGCAGCACTATTTCCAGTTGCACCTAATTTGTATCATCAGGGGAGCGGATTCACTGTAGATGTGGGAGCAGAGGAGTGGTGCTTTCGGGGTTAGGGCACGAGACTGGGAGTGGACCGTTCAGATGCCCAGATGTCAGATGTCCTGTTCCTGTGAGTTGTTTCTGTCTCAGAGCAGGGTCCAGCTTTCAGGAGGCTCACTGGTGGGAACTGCACATTGGGTCTCCTGCCAGCGGGAAGCAAGAGATTCTGTCCTTGGGAACATCAATAAGACAACAACATTTCAGGGTTGGCTGTATTCTGGGGTGTGGGGAGAGCACCTATGTTGGTCTGTCTGTGTGTGCTGGTACAAAAGGACATGGCAAGAAACTGGACAAATGGCATGATATTGCCTGCTCTCGTGGTTGCCCCAGGTATGAGATGTTTCAAAAACATAACAAAGAACAAAGTACATAAAGCAATGCTGATTTTGTCATGTTTTATCAATTTTCAATTCATTTTATGGTTACTATTAAAGCCACAAACCCACAAATTCCCAAGCTGTGTATTGCCATTCTTGCAAGCGGCCCTGTTGACTTCGGATGGGCTATCTCCACAAACCAGGGATGTGGAGATCAGCTGAATGCTCTTCCTCTCCCTGTGTGAAACACAGCTACTGACAGATCAAACACCAGCTTATGATCATACCACTTCATTAAGAAGCCGACCAAGAGCTGCCTACCAGGAGTCACTTGCTGTGCCCAGACAGTCCCCACCTCAGCCTCATGATCAGCTTTTGTCTTGTTTCATTTTTCTGTGTGCAACCTTAGTAGAACTAAATAATACTCCTTAATTCTAATATTAAGATAACAGGTAGAGTTGTTTTCTGCACTATAGAGAGATGTTCATTTCTTCACAAAGAGCTGTACATAAAACTGATGAATATTTTTACAAAGGGAAATATTTGCTGCAGCACAGAGTGTTTTAAATATTTGCAAGAATCCTAATAGGCAATGGTTTTAATTCAAATGAAGCTGCTGCTAAGCTCGAGCTTATGCAGAACTTAGTCTTGCAAGCAAAAAATATTATTATGCAGCCACTTAGCATAATTGCCACGTAAGAATAGGATCTAGCAAAGCATTAAAGTGAATGTTTGACATTTAAGCATCTGGTTAGAGTTAGTGGGGCTATCATTTTACCTTCATGTCAGAAAAGCGCTGCTATGTTGAAATTTAATTTCTCAGATTTAGAGCCCATGAGCATTGCATAAAAATAAGGGTTTATTTTATATGAAAATGTGCTCTGTCATAGTCAGATTTTTTTTTTATTCTTTCCCTCATTTGCCCTCAAACGTGGCTGTCTGAGATAGACACATTGTCTCAGCAAATTAAGTCAAGCTGGAAGCAAGGGTACAGTGTTACGGCAGAGCAGCAAATAAGATTTACATTTTCAAGCAAGAGTAGTAATTAAGTCATTGCATATTTTATATCTTCATGTTTATTTTCAAAGTGGTATATCAAAATAAGCATAGATGTAATGAGATGTAAGTGCTCCGACGAGCAGTCGGGGTTCATCAAGCAAAACCTACAAATTACTCTTCAGTTTTGCTGCCACCCACAGTGTTTACATCTTTAAAATACCAGTAGGCAGCTGCTCTGGCCAGAGCTAATTGGGCCTGTAGTTAGAGACATTCTGGATTTCTGTAATACAGATTATTAAGGGAATAGCCCTAATTTTCAGTGATAGAGTACTTGGCATTGTATTGAGGACTTCACCTCAGCATGTGGGGTATTTGTTGCTTTGGGAAGTAAAATGAAGTTTTGAACTGGTTATGCTGGTGCAGTTGGTTATAACTGCTTGACTTGAGGTATCCAGAGCAGTGCCATGGGAGGATGAGCAGACAGGCTTTAAATGCAGGGTCCAGGTCCATTGTTGCTGTGGGACAATGATGGTCTAGAGAGGCCCAAGCTCTAAATCCTCATGACTTAAACTGTCCTACATCTGGCTGCGGCTACAGTGTCTGTGCGCTTGTGTGTGTCAGGTGAAGTTGCTGCTCTCCATTGCTGTGCTGGGCAGGCAGCTTTGGCAGTAACCATTATTCTTACCTGTATTTCTGCACACAGTCTTGCAATATTTGCCTACACATAATAATGCTTTTCCAGCAGAAGTAATGTGACCACAAAATCAGCTGACTGGAACTGCAATTATATGCTAATTTAAGGTTTTTAACCATTGAATGAATGCCTACAGTATTTCTCCCTATTTTGATAGCTTTCTTTACAATGAGAGTAGTTGTGTAAATTGAGCTAGATTTAAGAGAAAAGTTGTCCCTGGAGTTAACTAGGTTGTTTTTTTCTGCCTCCTCCTTTGCTTCACCCTCCTGTCCCAAAGATGCAATCCTTCCCTAAAACCTGCTGGAGTACCTCATAGCCAGATACATACTGTAAGTATGGTAAGAGAAAACAATCCAGAATGTAACCCTTCATCTTTCTTTCCCGTAGATCTGATGGCACACAAGCCTTGCTGCAGCTCTCACAAACAGAAAACAGGTTGGGTACTCCCATCTGCCCTCTTTTGAATTGCACCAATTCTGATTATGAGCCAGAAAAAGGAAGAAATGGAGGATACCTCTCCGCCACTCTGTGTCACCTGTGGCCAAGTGCATTTACCGGAAGAAAACCACTTGTACAGCTACACCGAAGAAGTAGATGATGATTTGATATGCCACATTTGCCTGCAACCTTTACTTCAGCCCTTAGACACGCTCTGTGGTCACACCTTCTGCGCAGCCTGCCTTACCAGCTTCCTTGTGGAAAAAGACTTCTGCCCCATGGACCGCAAACTTGTAATTCTCCAGACGTGCAGGAAGTCTAGCATACTGGTGAATAACCTCCTGGACAAGCTAATGGTTAGCTGCCCTTTCACAGAACACTGCTCAGAGGTTGTGCAACGTGGTCACCTTGAACAGCATTTCCAAACTCAGTAAGTTGTTGCTGATAGACCTTTTTTCCACTCATTTTCTTATGGCAAGGAAAAAATATCTTTGATCAGTGCTAATTAAAATAGACTATTAATGTAAAGAAAGAGCTATAGATGTAATGAGTTTATCATTAATTTAGAGCTGAATTTAGTCCATTTATTTGACAATATAACCTTTTTTTCTGAATCAAATGCACTCAAGGTACTTCATGCTATCATTAGCAGTTCTGAGCAGTTTCCTTGTGGTTAGCTGCATAATGGAAGTGTGTGTTTAGTAATCTGAAGAGATCTGTGAGTTTTGGGAAGCTGAGGTATCATAAATATTTTAGTAGTACATTAAGCGTCTTATAATTGCCCTTTCTTCAATCCTTTTTTGAATCACAAATGACCTATATGAGAAGTAGAGCAGAAAATATTCCGGTTTGGTGTTGGTCCTTGGAGCTGAGTGCTCCTTTCTTCCAGGTGAGCACTTACCAGTGCACTGCACCATGGGGCTCGCGGAGCCCCAGCCTCACAAATGTGGTGTGAAAGACCTCCCTGGCTGGAGTCCCCTCCAGGTTAACCTCTCCTTGGGACCAGGACACCACCTCTCCTGCCTCCGGGAGAGTTCTCTCCAGGGAGTACTTAGGTTCCCCTGCAAGGAGAGAACCAATGATAAATGATCCTCTGTTTTGCAGGGTAAAAGCACCTGCTGCTACTTTCGTCTTTCCTCTTCTGTCTTTTGAAAGCAAGGTAGAAGAGTAGAGAGATACATTTAGGGCTGTGCTTTCTGACAGCAGACAAAAGCTTCAGCATGATCCATGTAATAGCACATTTGAGGAGACCTGCATTCTAAGAGATGCCCTTTTTTGTGGCCTTTATCTGTTCTCCAGTGGAATGGCTTTCCCTGTGGTTTTCATCTGTGAGTCGTGTTCCTATGTGCATTGTAGAGCAAGCCCTGGGCAACCAGTGCAAAGCTCCAGACTGCTGCTGGTGGCACATGCCAGCATAGGCATGGTAGTGCTGACAGTCTGAGCATCCCTGGTGAGGAGGCTGGTGAGCTGGAGCATGGAGGTGTGTTCACATGGCTGCAGGCTTCTGGATCCTGAAGCTCATGGCTGGACATGGCTCTGTACCCTGCCATTCAAACAAGTCCCCATTTGAACTGGAGATGACATTTTGTAAAGCACCTGGATTCTCATGAGGAATTTATTCAAGATGTTCACTGAAGTCATTGTGGTTTAACCAAAGAAAGATATTACTGTTTTCCATTACTAAAACTGAAAAAAAAATTGACAACAAACCCCTTGCAAAGGGCAAGAAGTCACTTTTCACATGCAAGAGGCTGGGTGTTTGTGGATTTGGGTGCCCTTCGCCCACCCAGTTCTGGACCTGGCTTTCTCTGTTGAGGGTGTTGCTGTCGCATGGCTCATGGTGTAAGAGGTGGTGGCAGCAGCCTCCAGCCCAGCCCAGCGGTGCTCTGAAGGTTACCTTTCTGCTGCTAAGGGCAAAAAGCAGCAAAGTTACTGCTTTTGGTCAGTCCTTCTCTGACATGCCTGAAATACAAATTTCAGTAATCACACAGGTAAAATGACTGACAGTGTGCTGTGAGCTGCTGTCACTAAGACTATGTTTATATACAAATTCCAACCACAAAATCTTGAGCCATGGTGCATACTCTTTTCCTTTGCTACACATACTGCTGATTTTAATGTATTTTAGATTCTCCTTTTTGTCTTCACTCATTTTTGAGATGATGGAGCTGTGGTCATAAAATTATCGGGAAAAAAAACCTCCACACAATAAACAAGCAAATTGGAGAGGTGTTTTTTTTTTACACAAAAGCCATACAATTCCTGATTTCTAGTGTTGTCTCTCCTACATGGACAAGTGCAAGTCACTCCAGTGTCTTGGTTTCTCCTCCTTAAGGTATTAGTAAATATACCCTTCACATACATGTTTTGCAGAATTGCAATGTTTTAAACCATGATTTGAACCTGTAAAAGCCTGGAAAATTTTATCCCAGTGCTTATTACTGAATGTTTGTGGCCTGGATTCTCCTCTCAGGAGCTTCAAGATCCTGTGTCTCTGGCTCACTTGGTCTGAGCTCAGCCTGGAGCAGGAGTCTCTTCCCACATCCTCCTGCTGTCCCTCCTCCCCTGTGCCAGATCACCCCCACCAAATCCTGGCTTTGCAAAGCCAGGAATCAGGGGCCTGGAGAGATGGAGCAGTGATCTCCCTTCTCATCAAACCCTAAAGCCTCTGAGGTAGTGCAGTACAAGACAGCGCTCCATAGAATGGGCAGCTTCCTCTTTGCCACTCATGACATGGATTTTTCTTCCGTGGTGTGAAGGGCTGTGTTACCTTACAGCCAAAGGGCAAAGGCAGGGGAGTAGGAAGTCATGGGGAACCTTTGTTGCTGGGGGGTTCAGGTTCCCAGGAGATGGGTAGTGCAGCCTTGCTGGCATTTCTACCCGAGGGAAGAATTAGGAGGGAACTTTCTGAGTGACCCCTAAAGGGAAACTTCTGCAACCTTGTACTTGCAGTACCTTTATTTTTTTTAGCACAGCGTTACCTAATTGTTAATTAATTATCGTCAAAGGTATCTCATGCCTTTGCCTAATTTAATTCTCAGAAATGCAGAAACCTCCCTCACCATCCCACCTCCAACTCGTAGCAGGGTGGGCGAGGAGAAAGGCATGATGCTCCTCAGGCACCAGCTCCGGCGTGCCCAGGCACAGAGCAGATCCAGCTGACACTGTTCACTTTAACTCCAGAGAATCAATAGAGGGGAGAGAAAGTGTGCGACTTTGCTAATAAAAAAATAGAATAATAATCATAAACAATCCAGTGTCTGCGGCGAGAGCAGCTCAGAGCCCATCTGAAATCTCGACTGAACGTGATCTGTGTTCTCAGTGAATAAATTAAACTAGACTCCACTAAAGTCACTGGGGCAGTCGGCAGTCCTCGCATTTCTTGCATGATTCAGGCTTGGACCAGTCCCGGTTCTCAGAGAGAAAATGAAAGCTTGCCCTGATCAGAGACGAGGTCATTGATAGGACAAGGTGAGTTTGCTGTTTTATATTTTGTAATTGATGAAAGAACTTTATTTTTTCTTAAATGCCAGTTACCATGGAGCAGTCCATTAAATGCATCCTTATTTAAAATGTTTGCTCTTGCATCCTTCAAAGAAAAAAAAAGCCTGAGAAGAGACATGTCCTTGGATTATTATATGATTTATGCTTGCACAGAAACATCTGACTGGATTTGGGGAATTCAGACCGAGATGCAAACAGCTAGCAATTGGCTGTGATCTTTTGTGGTGTTTTACTTTAAAAAGGTGTGGTCTTTTGATATCGCCTGCTTCAAAACTCCACGGGGGGCATTTTTTCCCCCCCTTATCAGACAGCTACACCCTTCTGTGATGCAATTCATCTCCTAACCCATCTGCTTGTGGGCAGTGATGTAAATGTACCAGCTGCCTCTGAAGAACCACTCTGAATCCTGCAGGAGGCAGGTCTCTTCCCTGAGCATCGCTCTCCTCTGCAGCATAAGTCACTGTCTCGCCAACCACGCTGTGCTGTCCCTAAACCCTTACATCTACCCATCCGAGAGTCAGATCGAGTAATCCTCTTACAGGTCAATGATTTTTTGCAGTGTAGCTTCGTTTAAGGGATTTAAGCTCGATTCATAATGTGCTACCATTGCGTTGAAATGGAAAGGTTCGCTTAGAAGGGGCTTGGCTGGCACAAAAGCTTCACGTTGTGTGTCCCACCAGCACAGGGAGACGGTGGGAAGGAGGAAACCTAGCAGCAGTGCCAGCCCTGCACTGAAAATGAAGGCTCTCCTGTTACTGGTCCTACCTTGGCTAAGTCCTGCAAACTACATAGACAATGTGGGCAACCTGCACTTCTTGTACTCCGAGCTGTGAGTACGCATGGTCGCGCTGGCATCGTGCTCTCTGTCTGTCTGTCTCACCCAAGCGGCGGGAAGGGGCTCGCCATCAGTGTTTTGGGGGGGGTCTGTCTGTCTGTCTGTCTCCCTGTGTGTCTGTGTGTACGTGAGAAGAAAATCCCACGACGCCTTGCTGACAGCTTCAAACCATGCTGCTGCTTCCCATCCAGAGGACTAATAATAGCAATACGTCCCCATTGCTTTCTGCTTTGGAAGCAGCTGAGACGTATGGAATGAAGCTGCCTTTCTCCTTATCAACTTGCTTTTCTGTGGTGACATTTTCAGTGGTGGTTGTTTTTTCCATTTCTGAATCCGTGTCTTTTCTTTACGTTCCATAAATAGCGTTGTGGGGGAGCTGGGCGTAAAGGAGCACATCAGGATAGACACCCCCGGTAGAGCGCTGGCTGTGTGTACATGCATAATGTTCTGCATGTAAAGCTGCATGCCTGTAGCAAAATGCTGAGAAGCCTTTCACCAGAAATAATTCACTTGAGACAGGAAGGATATTTCCCTTTCTTCTGTTTCTGCCCATAGTGGAATGTTCTATTCTCTACAATGCGAATTTAAGCGTACCAATATGCATATATCTTCATGTTTTAAAAAAAACCCACCTTAAATAATCTCACAGCTGGTCTTTCCAACCCATAAAACAAATATTCTATGGTATCATCTGTAAATGATACTAGTTTAATTTGCTCTTGAATGTTATTGTACTAGTTAATAGGGCTTTCATGAATAGAAATACATATTTGTTTCAGTATGCCTCAATTAAATATGTTCTGTTTGTGTTTTAACAATTTATAAACTCCAAGATCTTTCTTGAGATAATGAACGAAAAGGCTAATTCTGCTTAAAAAATGAAAATTACTGTATTGTGCCTACAGTGGGGATGTTTTAATAACAGTTGTGATTAGTACCAATGAGAATAATTTCCAAATAATTTTTTTCTCTACTCTCAGACAAAAATAGCAGTGTTTTGCAGAAACACAAAGTTCCCTTTTGAAATCCTTGTGTGATATGCATGGCAACTATTAATAATTTATTCACACTGCATACAACAGCTCAGGATT